TTGCTGGTTTAATTTCGTGCATGATCAATCACATGATACTTGGAGTGTTTGCTTAAGTGATAAGCTGATGAAAAGTGATTCTAAACTGCTGTTTTTCACCTCTGGCACAGTGTTAATCGATTAACCTATATGGTTAATCGATTAACCAACTCAAATATTCAAATTTTCAAGCGTTTTTCAATGGTTAACCGATTAACCCCTGGCGTTAATCGATTAACACTGTAACAGAGGGCCTGTTTTGCTGTTTTGCTTGCTTGCTCGCGTGCCGGTTCGATCCGAATCATCATAGATCATTGTGTTGCATTAGGATTGAATTATTTTGGATGTTTGTCATTGTTTTTGTCTGTTTAATCATGACTTTGTGTGCATTTTCCACTCGCATGTTTGCATTTGCATGTTGCTTGTTTTTTCTTCTTCTTTCGTAATTATTCCCTCTTTTTGTTGATTTTTGTTCTAGTGATTAGAATAGAATTAGGAGGAGATCTTTTGCTGGCTGTTAGTAGACATATTGATGTTCCCCTAGGAATTTTATTAGAATTTTACAACTTTATTTTTTATTTTAGTTGTATTTTGCAATTGGCTTGTGTTTATGATTCCTCTCTTGAGTGCTTTGTTTTGTTTGGCTTGGTTGGTTGCCTTGGAGTTGGTTTGAGCTTGAGTTATTTTTGTTGGAGCATCTGGATTCATTGAAGATGCTTGGGATGGAAGATTGGAGCTTGGAGTTGATTGCTTTTCCTCTTGTGGAGCTTTTGTTTAGGAGTTCAGAGAATTAGGGTTTTAGGAAGTGCCTTAGACCTAGTTTTGATTCTCTCTTCCAACATGGAATGCATTATTTGCCTCCATTCTATCCAATGACACAAAGTCCTTCTTGGGAAGCTCCATCTCTCCTTAGGAGGGATGAGTGGTATGCCCAAGTGAGTAGAACTTTGAGGATACCTTTCATTTGCAATGTTGAGTTCTTAGTGATTTCCTTTGGTTGTCATTAAGTTTCTTAACATTATAACTTGATCTTGATGTTTAATCCTCCTCTTGGAGTATGCTTGTTGAAGCTTGAAGATAGAAACTTGCTTGAGGATGAAGCCTTTGTTGTCAACTTTGTTGTTCATTCAACTTTGCTGTCCAGAGTTGCTATTGTTGTTTGCTGTAGGAGTCTGATATTGCTGCCTGAGCTGCCTCCTCTGAGTCTTCTGTTTTTCTCTGTATTGTCTGTTTAATTGTGTTGATTACCTCTAGGTTTGAGGTGGAGCTTGTCTCCCCTTGCCTATTGTTTTCTCCCTTGCCTCTCTTATATTGCTGCATTGCATGCATGTTTACTGTTTACTGTATTTGCTTGCTATCTTTTGCTGTTTATCCCCTAGGATCTCTAATTTCCTCTGTGCAAGAGGAAATTATGATAGACATTAGGTTTTGACCCATGCATGACAACATTAGGCTAGTTTCCCTTTCAACCATAGTTTTAGGGTCTTTCTCTTCTCATCTCAAAACAATTCAAAAACACAGTAATAACGATAACACGTGTTGTACGCTACGAGCCTTAAGCTATCTGAGAAAAGGTTGCTGGAGGGTCACTCTTCAGTAGTCTGACTGCTTAGTATGGTACCCTTAGGGTGACATGCGACGTAGTCACTCTCAGATCACAAGTCTTTAGTGCAGTATAAGTTGCAAACAGACTAAAAAACATTTCTTTTCGTAAAAAAACTCAAACAAACATTCAAACTCTGTTTTTGTCCGCTTGGACCTTTAATCAGGAAAACCCTTTCTTAAGGAGATAAAAAAAAACTGTCAGACAAACTTGTGTCTTCCGTAGCCCGAACTACGTTTGCTCTGATCTTTCATGCTGTATGAAAGTACGTAGGCATAGGATGCGACATCCTAGCGAGCAACCTTCCCCTCCTTTCCCGTAGGTAGGCGAACTACGTTGACTCTGATTTCTCGTTCCAGACGGGAATACGTAGGCATAAAGTGCGATACTTTGCCGAGTCATTTTCTTTTCTTTTTAACCCAGACCTGTAGAGTAGATAGAATAACAAACCCTTAGATAGAAAACAAGCGTGGATCCCGTCGAGTACGACGGATGTGAGGGGTGCTAATACCTTTCCCTTGCATAACCGACTCCCGAATCCAAGATTTGGTTGCGATGACCATTCCTTTCCTTCTTTGCGTTAGGTTTACTCTGAGCGTTTCCTTTCCCTCTTGTGGGATAAATAACGCACGGTGGCGACTCTTCTGTCATAGTCGGCGCCGATTTTCGCAGTAGCGACAGTATGTAGTGCCTGATGCCTTAAAGTAGTTTTCATACACATAAATACCTTATATTTATAGCACCCTACTTCATTGTAAGGTTTATTAATGTACATTACCTACTTTCAATAATAAATTTGAATATGCTGAGGTTTATTTAAGTGTATTGATGGTGTCATTGATGTTGGTTTATCATTAATGCAGCTGACACTGTCATGCTCTAATCTAGCCATTATGCATAATCTAGCCATTCTGCTAGTATGTAGCATTATAAGCCATTCTGAATAATCTAGCCAGACTGCATAATGATGCATAACATTATTTTGTCCCATACAAATTGCTCAAGTTGTCACCTACCTTTGTCATGTGTTACTTCATTTGTCTACTATACATCCTTACAAGTTTAATACATTGATGTTGTCTGTGATATTTTAAGTTACTTAATTATTGAGTCTTATATTTACAGGTTATAACACTCTTCAAATACACTGTGATTTCAAGTATGGACAACACAAACAATTCTATTTCAGCCAAAAAAGCAAGATCTCGTAGATCTATGATTATAAAACAATCACGTTCAAAGCGCCAAAGAAACAGTTCTCTACAACACTTTACACTCAATACCAAACATCCTACACCAAATAATATGATGACAAGAAATCCATTGTCCGAGCTAACCCCGTCACATCAAAACCAAAAAACGGTTGAACAAATTATTGAAGAAGGAATGTTACTTAGTGCCCGATTTCAATGTTCAAAACCCAGCCAAACCAGGCATGGATTTAGAACAACAAGCCATGTCTACAACAACATTCATAGCTTGGGGAAAAATCTATTTCCTAAGTTTTCCGACACAATTAACCTTGAACCAGATGAAAATACACAACCTGCTGCATCAGAATCACTAACACACATTTTACCGCAACAACACAAACCTGTACAACATGAAGTAAGTTCTTCTCTTAAACGAGTGTAAGTCTCTTATCATACCTACTTTGTTTTTTTTTTGCTGAAATCTTTAGTGCATTGGTATTCATAGTTTGCGACAATATTTTTTAAAATTGTTAAATTTCTTTTTGTACAATTTATAAAGCTACATACTTTGTTCTCTGATTTTTCCATTCAGACTTATAAAATGGTACAAACCCACCTCTTCTACGCCTTCCAAAAGCCAAGACCAGAATGTTAGTTCTTCAGAAGATACACAGAAAGAGTGTAACTCGAGTAACCAAATGTCGGTTTGCTTTCTATGTACAAATTATTCTTATTGATGATGCTTTCTTTAGACTCATGCTTAACCTACACAAAACTGTTATGACAGGGTTGGAGCCAGTGCAAAACCTGCTCGGGGAAGGCCTCGAAAAACCGTAATCGTTCCAAATTTTAACATGAATTTACCATCCATCGACCCATCAAACATACATGGTTTAAGGGATAATTCTACTATTTCCATGACAGAAGACATGAAAAACCAGCCTAGGTAACATATATGTTTCTTACTACCATGTATAAAAGAATTCTAAACTATTATAGACTTATTGATACCTTTTTGCGATTCACCGAGTTACCGGTAGCTACAGTTGTCCTTGCATATCATATCTAATGAAATCTTTTTTGTGTTATAGGTTTCCAACAATTTGCAAACTACTTCATGGTAGACCTCGAAAAGTTTTAGGTCTTCCAAATCTTGCAAAGAATCTGACAAGACGTTTCCCACAACATAACCAAATTATAGAGACTTCTACACCACCTAGGTATTGTATATTCATTTTTTCATGAAATGGTTATTTCTTGGTTCATAGTTATATTTAAAAACACTGTTAGTGATGCCTTTTGATTCTTTTTTCTCCATTCTAACTATGCATTACTTCCCAAACATGTGTTTCATAAATATGGCAGGTTTCAAAATTCTTAATAAGCATGGTTATTTCAAAGATAAATTATTTGTTGTATTTTAATTTTAAATTTTCATCATCATCACTTGGTATTTCAATTATCATTTCGAATTTACTTGAATATGCCTAACATATTAGTTGTTTAATCATAGCATTGCATCCACTGTTATGTAGGAATGATTCGATTCCTACTGTCTAGGAAATAAATGGTAGTGTTCAAAGGGAGCAGCCTTCTTTGTCAGTGGAACATGATGTACAGAATCCTATAAATGTTCCTATCATTGATGTCCAACCATTGTGTCCAATTTTTACACAAACCTCCAATCTAGATTTTAATACTGACGATGACGATGGTTCCGACTTTGATCCTTTTGCAAGTTAGTAGACTGATTTATGTATTATTATGTTAACCAAAACGGTCTTTTCCAAAATTTTAACACCACGTCATTATACTTTATAGGAAATCATTATGAAGATGATACGTGTTCAGAATTCGACGATCAAGATGTAGCTTTTGTTATTCGTAAACATCACAAAGGAACAACAGAAGGTTTGGAATTTTTAAATTACATCTCTCAAGTTTAACTTTCTTATAATATTATAACCCTATCCTGGTTTATGTAGAGCATTACGATATCGGGGACCCTTTAATTGAATTCCGTTATTGTCAAGCAATGATGTGGTATCAAGAGAGGATGAACAAAAAGTTGTCATTCAACTAATCCCAAATTTATGCTATGTTGTGGGAATGGAAAGGTTGAACTTCCGTTACTAAAATAACCTCCTGATATACTTTCAAGTCTCTTGTTTGATCACCAAAGTTTAGCTAGCCGGAAGTTTCAACAACAGATTCGAATTTACAACATGATGTTTGCATTCACATCACCCGGTGCAAAGTTAGATAATCGTTTTAACAATGGTGGTGGACCACCAACACTTCGGGTTCAAGGTCAATCGTGTCATCGAATTGGAAGTTTGTTACCACCGGAAGGTCAACCTCCTAAATTTACCCAACTTTATATTTATGACATTGAAAATGAGGTCCATAGTAGAATGCAAGGTCTAAGGTATATTTAAACTACATCTTTTATTTTACCGTTAAGTTACCACATTCATGCAGAATATCCCTTCACATCACGTTTCTTAAATTTCAATATTATATCCATATATACAATGTTAAAACATTACATTTTCTATTCTTTTTTAGGGACACGAAAAACATTGATCCCTTGATTATACAACAATTGTCTAAAATGCTTTATGAACATAACCCTCATGCAAAAAGTTTTTAGATGGCCAAACAATGGTTAAGTGACGGAAATACTCAGAACTTAAAGTTGATGTTAATTTCTGATAGAACAACATATGGCCGAATATATAATCAACCAACTGTGTCAGAAGTTGTTGCATTAGTTGTTGGTGATATTGACACAGCTGAAATGAGGTACATAATCATGCAAACAAAAGGAGGGCAACTACAACGAATTAATGAGCTACATGCAAGTTACTTAACTTATCAGTATCCTTTGATTTTTCCCTATGGAGAAGATGGTTATAGGCCTAACATAGCTCATAGAGACTTAGACATCTTCCGAGATAATAAGAGAAACAAACTAACCATAAGGGAATGGTTGTCATTTCGAATTCAAAGTAGATTCAATGAAGCTAAGATATTGTTATCATCACGACGACTATTCAAACAATTTTTGGTTGATGGTTGCACAATGTTAGAGTCTAAAAAATTAGAATGGATCCGAAAAAATCAACCAAAACTCAGGGTGTCAAATTACAACAGTCTTAATGATGAAGGTGATCAAAGTCAAACACCAGGATCAACCATAGGGAAAAGAGTGGTTTTGTCATCTTCCTATGTTGATGGTCGTAGGTTTATGGATCAATTGTACTATGATGGCATGGCTATCTGTAGTAAAATGGGATTCCCCAATTTATTCATAACTTTTACTTGCAACCCAAATTGGCCTAAGATACAAAGAGTATTGACACCTCTTCATTTGAAAGCACAAGATATACCAGATGTTATTTCAAGGATATTCAAAATCAAGTTTGATCAATTACTTTCAGATTTAACAAAGAACAGTGTGTTAGGCAAGGTGCTTGCATGTAAGTTATATTTCTCAACTTTACTTTAATTTTATTTACTTTATGCTAATTCTAAGTCTTTCTTTTCATTATTTTCTAGATATGTACACCATTGAGTTTCAAAAGAGAGGGTTACCACATGCACATATTTTGATATTTTTTCATCCTTCTAACAAGTATCCAACACCTGAAGATATTGACAAAATCATTAGTGTTGAAGTGCCTGATCCTTTGAAAGACCCAAAGTTGTACAATTTAGTTAAAACTCACATGGTTCATGGTCCTTGTGGTTTGGTAAATCGGAATTCACCTTGCATGAAAGACATGAAATGCTCGAAGTTTTACCCAAAAAATTCCAATCTTCAACAATTGTAGATCAAGATGGCTATCCAGTGTATAGAAGAAGAGACAATGGACACACAATTGAGAAAAATGGAACCATCCTTAACAATGGTCATGTGGTTACTCATAATCCAAGTTTATTGTTAAAGTATGAAGCCCATATCAACATGGAATGGTGCAATCAAAGTACTTCTATCAAGTACATGTTCAAATACATAAATAAAGGTTCTGATCGCATTTCTACTATTATTCAAACTTCTGACAACACTACTTGTGCTAACAAAAATCACATTGATGAAATCAAGCAATATCTAGATTGTCGATACATCTCCCCAAGTGAAGCATGTTGGAGGATATTTGCGTATTCTATTCACGGTAGGAAGCCGGCTGTTGAAAGATTGTATTTTCACTTAGAAAGGAGAAAATTTTGTATACTACAAAAACTTCAAGCAAATTGGAAGTTTTACTCAAACCAAGTGTAACTGAATCAATGTTTACAGCATGGTTTGAGGCAAACAAAAAATTTGAAGATGCATGATTGTTAACATATGGTGATTTTGTCTCTAAGTTTGTTTACCATAAACCAAGTAGGAGTTGGAAACCTAGGAAAAAAGGGTATACCATTGGTCATCTTATTTGGGTTCCTCAATGCACAGGTGAATTATTTTATCTACGGATGATGTTGCCTTTCAAAAAGGGGCCATTAAGTTACAAAGATATCAAATTTGTTGATGGTGTACAACACAAAACTTTTAGAGAAGCATGCTTTGCTATGGGATTCTTACAAGATGATAGAGAATTTATTGAAGCAATTAAGGAGGCCCATGTTTGGGGTTCTGGTTTTTTTTTACGAAAAATTGTTTGTTACAATGTTGTTATCATCATGCATGAATAGACCCGAACATGTTTGGAATAGTTCATGGTTCTACTTATCAGATGGTATTCTTTATGAACAACGTATATTGACGGGAAATCCAGGTACATTAATTATTTCATGGGTTTTTACTTTATATCTCTTTACTTTAATATTAGGTATTTCAAATATGACTTTTTATTACCATAGGATTGATACTTACGGATGAAGAAATAAAACAACGGACACTTATGACGATTGAAACACAATTGCAAAAAAATAAGAAGACTTTGAAGGACTACAATCCAATGCCATATCCGAAAGATTTTGTAAATTCCTTTCTTGGAAATAGGCTTATTTATGATGAGAGACAATATGATCTGATTGCTCAACAACAAGTATATTTAAATTTACACGCATCTCTTACAGGTAACATCAAATTTCATTTATTTCATTTAATCAATTAATATTGATGTTGGTCATACGATTTTTTTTTTGGATAATGGTTTTTTAAAGATGAGCAGAGAAATATTTTTGAAGAAATAATGGAAGCTGTAGAAAATAAAAAAAGGTGGTGTGTTTTTTTTATATGGATATGGTGGAACAGGTAAAACGTTTATGTGGAACACTTTGTCAGCTGCACTTCGGGCTAAAAGAAAAATTATGTTGCCTGTTGCCTCAAGTGGGATTGCAAGTTTGTTGTTACCAGGTGGAAGAACAGCTCATTCTAAATTTAAGATTCCAGTCCCTACTTTGGAATCTTCCATTTGCAACATTGACAAAAAAGATTATCTTACTGATCTTTTAAAGTTGACTGATCTAATCATATGGGATGAAGCTCCTATGGCTGACAAATTTTTCTTTCAGACTCTTGACAAATCTTTGAAGGATATTATGAGTATTAATGGAGAAACGTCCCAAAACATTTTTGGAGGGAAGGTTGTTGTTTTTGGTGGTGATTTTAGACAAATTCTTCTTGTTATACCAAGAGGTAGTAGATCCAATATTATTCATGCAACCATCAATGCTTCATATATTTGGGATCATTGCAAGGTACTCAAACTTACAAAAAATATGCGCTTGCAAAATGGAGCAACGACAAGTACCACAGAGGATATTCGAATTTTATCTGAGTGGATCTTAAAAATTGGAGATGGGACAATGTCTAAACCAAATTATGGTTATGTTGAGATTACAATTCCCCAAGAGTTTCTTATTTTTAATTTTACAGATCCTATGAAGGCTATTATTGAAAGTACCTACCCCGATCTCATTCATAACTACCACGATTCCAATTACCTTCAAAGTCGTGCAATTCTGGCTTCAACTATTGAAGTAGTAGATGATATCAATGAATACATCACAAGTTTTTTGCCAGGTACTATTCATGCTTTCATACTATATTTAATTTAGTAACATGTGCATTTCTATTATTTATCATTGACTGCGAATACGTTTTTCTTTTATGTTTTAAAGGGGAAGAAAAAGAATACTTCAGTAGCGATTCTGTAGATAGATCTGAAGCAACTGACTTTGATGCATTTGAACACTTAACACCTGAATTCTTGAATGCTCTTAAAACATCTGGATTGCCTAATCATTTAATAAAGTTAAAAATTGGGACCACAATTATGTTGTTGCGTACCTTGGATCAATCTAAAGGATTATGCAATGGTACACGACTCACTATAACAAGACTTGCTGATCATGTCATTGAAGCTAAGATCATTTTTGAAAAGAATATTGGTAACATCATTTATATTCCAAGAATTTCTTTATCTCCCTCACAATCACCATGGCCTTTTAAATTGGTGAGAAGACAATTCCCAATTATTGTTTCTTTTGTTATGACAATTAACAATTTTCAGGGTCAATCTTTAGACAACGTTGGTTTATACTTACCAAAAGATGTTTTTAGTCATGGTCAATTGTATGTCGCACTTTCTAGAGTTAGGACTAAGGAAGGTCTTAAGATTTTGATTCATGACAAACATAAACAGGTTATGCATACTACCACTAATGTTGTCTTCAAGGAAGTTTTTCACAATATCTCTTAGGTATTTTAATGCAGACTGTTTTGTATCATTTATTGTCTATTACAAATGGTATTGTGAGTTTACATCTAATATATATGTTTTTCTATACAGGTCGAAGACTTTTGTTCATTAAAGAGATTGATGGTTCACAATCTACCCAATATCATGAATGATTGTAACACACTTGTATTCTTTTATTTTATTTTTTGTGTCTTTCCTTTTTTCTTTGACATTCTTACTCAATTTAACTATTATATTTTGTGCTTATATATTGCAAATCATTTGTTCTTTTCATTTTTTTCCAAAATATAGTCGTACTTATTGTTACCATTGCTATAAGAAAGTTTTCATATTTGGTACAATAAAGATCTTTGATTTTTTTTAAAATACAAAACCATGAAATTTATGAACATGATATTAACATTATTTCATTTTTAATTTCTTTTATCTTTCCTTTTCGATATTTTTAAAATTTTATTTATTTTATATAATTAATATGCATTACACAATTAAATTTATCTTTTCATATTTATATGTACATATAAATAAATTATTTATCAATTAAAATTAATGGACCCGTGCGGACGCACGGATCTCCTTGAAAATCCTGAAAGGGTCTTTTACTAGTTCTCCTTAAAAATTAAATTATTATTACTAACTGCACCCGTCACGTGAATGTGGGTCCGCTCTAAAATGCCTGTGTATAACAAAATAATAAAACAAAACAAATATTCTAGCTATAGTGAAATGTTAATCTGGAAATAAATAGATAAATCACTACCCCGTAAATTATAATATTATGGACCTGGAATTTCTCACACTCTGATTAGTTAATTAGTCATTAACAATGTCCGTAAATAATAATGAAGTATGGACCAATTCACTATCCAACAATCATATATTATTCAGCTACAGCACATTTTTATTGTTTTCTTTCGACTTATAGTCACAAGGACGATGC